TAATATGGACCTAGTTACTTTTTTTTTTTTTTTTTTTTTTTCAAGAACTGGTTTCACCAAACTAATCTGAATAGAAAAAACCTGAGAGTTGCAACCAAAAAATCCCATCAGTATCGACAGCCACAAATGTTTGCCCTACAAATCATGAGATAGGCTTAAAATCTGTTTTCTTTTAGAAACAAACATGCCCTTGTTCTTCCCTCTCTGAGTACTTGTGTAATTATTTCAACCCTTTCTTGGACCATGCTAGAAACTTCCCATTTTTAAATGAGTGGTGTTAATCCCATGACTCGGGAACAGGAGCATTCAGCGAAACACCAAATATTGCAATAGTGGCTGTAATATGTTGCGTGGACAGCCATAGGTCATGGCGACAAGTGGCTGTGGGGATTGCAGGGAGATCTTTGAATTTTTGATTGAAACGTGTTTAGTGCCTGAGAATCAAAGGCCTGAGTTCTCAGTAAAGCTAAGGTCTTTCACCACCACTCTGGTAGGGTAAACGGACCTTAACAGGGCTGAAATGGGTATTACATTTGCTTTGATGGCTCTGCACTGCAAGAGCTGTGTCAAGACTTTCTCGTAACAGTGAAACCGAGCAGAAAGAGAAAACCCAGAAGTGAAACTGCCCAGCCTGCTTCCACTGTCCTGTGGGCAAAAGGGAATGAAAACCAAGCAGGGTGACAGAAAACATGTTGACTGGCCTGAAACAACCCACTCCTGACTAAGGGAGTTGGGTTTGAGCTGTGCAAGAGGCACCTGCCTCTGCAACAAGCTGCCCTGAAACCTGCAGCTCATGGTGCTCATGATCTTGAGGGTGCTAGAAATCCGTGTCCGGCTGTTGTGGCTGTAGGGCGTCTCTGCAAAAAAATAAAAGGGCCTGATTCTCCTCTGCCTGGCTTAGCCCCATCTAGACAGTGGTCTCGCAGGGTGGGCAGGTAGGTGAAGCCTCAAGGCAGGGGAGTAGGCTCCATGATCTGCAGGGCTGGGCAGGGCACAGGTGTGGATGGTGCTTTTTTCCCCCCTGAAAGTTCATGATTTGTCCCTGTTAATCGGCTCAGGGACTCAGCCGGGCTCCCTTCTGGAGCTGTGCGGGGGAGGAGGATTACACGTCCCTTCAATGAGGAGGATTAACACAGCTCCGCCTGGCCTTTCCTCACAGGTGGTTAAGAAGTCCTGCTACCCCCGCTGGAATGAGACCTTTGATTTTGACCTGGATGAGTCAGCCACTGAGAAGCTCTGTGTCGAGGTCTGGGACTGGGACCTCGTCAGTAAGAATGACTTCCTGGGCAAGGTGAGGGAGAGCAAGCCAGCTAACAGCATGGCTGTTTGCTTTTTCGGGCTGTTTACAGTCAGTAGTCATTCTTACAACGATTAACGTTCAAGTTCCACAGATCAGACCTGAGGCTGGGAATTAAAGACCCCAGGTTTTATCCTTGGCTCTGCCACTGACTTCCTTTATAGCCTTGGGCATGTTGCTTCCCAGCTCAGTGGCTGGGAGACAGAGGAGGAAGGTTAGTGGGTAGAGGACTATCCTGGGACTTGGGAGTTTGCACCCAGGTCACTTTCCTCTTCTACTCACTCCATAGCTGACCTCAGGCAAGTCACTTAGTCTGTCTCTGCTTTTACCTCTTCAGTATGATGGAGGTAGTGGCACTGCTATACCTCACTGGGGTGGCATGGGGCTAATGTGAAGTGTTTGGGTCCTACACTAAAGGGAGGCCAGCAACATGCCTGAGAGATCAAAATCTCGTTCTCATCTGTTGTAAGATGCTTTGAGATTCTTGGATGAAAAGTCCTCTAGGAAATCCAAGTGGTTTTATGAAAACCATTGCAGTCCTGGCAGACCTAGAGGAAAGCTCCTAATTTGTGAGTTTCTCAGCTAGACTCAGCTGTCCTAAAAATGCTTTTCTGGCAGGAACACAGCTTTACTGGGGTTCAGTTCCACTCTCTGCCACCGACCCCCTACACGACCCTGGGTCAGTCCCTGGATCGCTCTGAGCTTAATAGAATTTCCTTGCTCCCGCACTTCCCTGTGTAGTCCTTAGCGGGGGCCTGTCTCTCCATTGGTGAGTAGGCAGTCACTGCTGTGACTGCCATGTCGTGGAGCAGACCCCAGCTGACTTGGGGATCAGAAGCAGTTTGGCTGCTGCAGCCTGGAGCTTAGCATGAGCTCAATACTAAGGGGTTTATCTCAGCAACTTCGGAGGAATGTACCCCATGGGTATGTGCGTTGCCAAGGACTGGGCCCCAATTGCAGCCATGGCCTTGAGGGATTGTTACAACATGAGTGATTAGTCAGAAGAACATGAGACTTAGTCAGCAAGACCATTACCATGACCAATGCCTGAATTGCATGAACACTGGTTTGCTGTGAGCAGGGAGACAGGAGGGGCACATCTCACCTTCTCTTGCATTCTTTCCTAGGTGGTGTTTAATATCCAGGGCCTGCAGACCATCCAGCAGGAGGAGGGCTGGTTCAGGCTGAGGCCAGATAAATCCAAGCCAAGAGTGGATGAGTGAGTCTCTGTCATTTATCCTGTGCTCTCCTGGGCAGGCTGAGGTAATAGTTTCATAGTTTCTAGGGTCGGAAGGGACCTGAG